ATATATTATTTGTAAACTAATAATAATAGTGATGAACATTCTGACCTCAAGTTCGCATACTTTAACTAAAAAAAAAATAATAATTTAATACTTTAAATGCGCGATTTTCCTGAACTGCGCAACAGTGTGATTATATAATGTAGCACTTTTATTAGTATTAATTTTTTAAATCGTAATATATATTTTTTTCAATATCGTTAATTCAATATCATAACAAAGTGTGATACTGAAGATTACAAGCAAATTAACAATTAAAGCATACATTCTAATAACTTTATACGAGTTTCTAATCGTTCTCATAAAAATTTCACACAGTAACAACTTAGAATTTTGAATACAATCTATGATACATGTATTAAGATAGCCGCACACATTTCTACACGCATACACATATGTCTTCGATAAAGTCATACATGGATCTTTTACAGCGTTATTCAAACAATATTTGATTTTTTATATTCATTTTCTGATATCTAACGCACCCATTATTAATGTTCAATGAATACTACGTGTTAGCGAATCAAAAAATCCATTTTAATATCAAGCATCAACATCGCAGGAATCCACGAGAAATGTTCTCAAATATACATCTCAGTATTTAATGCAATACTGTGATATCTTCAAGTTTTTTGCAAATTACACAGTATATTAAATATTAATCATTTCTGTACAAAATTAGATTAAATGCTTGCATATAGTTAAACTAAAATTTTTAAATATACCAAAATTAAAATGTTCATGTGTTATAAAAATGGAATTAATATGCATTGCGTCTTATATGATCGATAAATATATATGTCCTTAAAATGTCTCATTTTGATATCAAAATTGCTATTTTCATGCGAATGATAAAGAATTATAAATATTCCATTACTGCAGATATCTTAAAAACAATTATTAAAGATTAAAATAATATGAAAATATTAATTCATATTAAAGAGATTTATTCTATTATAATTAATTTACAAATTTTAGTACAGTTACTAACTTAGTACAATTAGTAACTTATGTACAGTTCATGTACTTCCACATTTGCTTTTTTTCAGTATGATAATACTTCAAAAGTAATATTTTATTTATGATTAATCTGCATAGATTGTGTGTGTGTGTGTGTTGCGCCACTTTTTTCATATCTTTATTAAAGCATCCAAGAAATTATAAATAGTGCGCACTTTGAAAAATAGTATTAAATAACACTCATACACAGATAGTTATTCATTACAAATTAAATCTTTGCAGTGAAAATAGCTTTCCACAAAAATTATATATTGGAATGAGATATATAATTCAAATAACGAAAAACCAGAAAAGTATTCCATTTTTTATGACATACGGATGATCCAAATGGAATATATATTTATCGCAATACTTATCAAATAAGATTTATTAAGACATATCTGTAATTGTTAAAATTTTAATATTATGCTATGCGAAAGCTACTGTCGCAGTTCTGTTGCATTATTATAGATTTCGTATTTTTCAAACTATATATACAAAGATTTATTTTCTACACCACATACATTCGCGATATTCATTCAGTTTCACAACAATCAATAATTCTTGATAAACTGACTTGTCGGACACGCTTTTGAATCGCTTCAGAGTTTACATACTTATTCATATATTGTTCGATATGACTTGCGTATTTTCATACGAACCTCTTTACATATATGTCGCTAGGAATGTCACAGATTTATTAATAATACATAGACTGTGTGTGCCAGAGGAAGTGTACCAGCCGTTATATTATATCCTCGATGAAATGTAACATTTTTTAAATGTTGGACTCAAAGTTTAATTACTTATAATGCTTAATTTAAATATGATTCCGAAAGACGATTTTGAAAAGAAAAAACTCGCTATACTTTGCTGACGAAATTAATCGCGAATAATAATGAATTGCAAATATAATATATGTATTTAGTGCGTATATATGTATACAATATTTTTTATAAGTAAAAACAAAAATTCATATTGTTATCTTCAATAGTTTCTTAAAAAATGACATGTAACGCAGTTAGTAAAACACCCTGTATATATACTTTCTTTTTCGACGGACATATAATATTTATCACTCGCGTCATCGTATAAAATATGTGTTTACATTGCTATTTGTCGGCAATGTATAGCGCGGTTTCTCCGTTAAACTTAGTAATTTTTACAACAAATTAATATCATTTATAAAATTCCCATATTATGAAACTTATTTTTTATATTGGCAGCGCTTGCAGTCCATGTATATGTATATCAGTCAAATAATGTTAGCAATTATCTATCAAACAAGATAACTCACCTTGAATCGAGCGATGACCGAGATTATCTATCTAGCCTTAAATGCATTTTTGTTCAAAATAATGATCAAAATTACGTATCAGAGCTAATCATATATAGTATGGAATGTATACGTAATAATAAAATTAGCAAGCCGGCTATAAATAACCCAAATATATGTATACATATAATATGAGATTAGCACTAAAAATGCTTCGTCATATTATCACTACAAATAGTTAAATCTAAACATAGTATCTATCGCGCGCATAGTACATCTGAAGCCTGATAATTTCTTTATCCTTTGGCTAAAAAATTTATCATTTCTTTGTATAGATAACGAGTTTAATTACGATTGTCACCTCGGCCAATATCCATTACATTTTTACGATAGATAAAAAACTTAAACAAATATTTTATATACTCGTATATATATATCGTGAGAAATGAAATATTTTTAAACCGGACTGCCGATAAATATGATACATAGTTCATTAAATGATATTTATGGATCTAGATTTGGTAATGCTAAAATACATTAACTAAAGCGAACAACGTATCATCTAACGACGAAAGATAACATTGCAATAATAAACGTTGGTACACTTAGGCCAAAACTATCTGCGGACGCACAGTGGAGAAAGTCTTTGTGATAAAATGTGGAAGGTGGATGTTCATCCCCTGGTTTGCACCATTCCCCTCGTACTTTAAATTCCGCCTTAAAAAATAAAACAGATTTAATTATTAAATATCGTACATTTTATCGCGTTACATCTACGCTTTATAAAATAAGCTATAAATATATACATATTTATATAATATTCATACTTGACAAATATCTCGACAGGGTGGACAGATTAGAGCACCTTTATGCAGCCAACCGTTCTGCATAATTCTTATAGTAATTTCCTGTCCAGCATGGTAGCAAGTGTAAGTATAATTGCCGACCTGAAAAGAGGCAAAATTTTCTCTTCATCTATTCATGACAATTACATTCTTGCTTAATTTATACGTGTTTAATTTATATGTGTTTAATTTATATTTAATCTTTATAAAAGTGTTTATATTGCCACGATGTAACAAACTCACCATAATGTGCAGTCTGCCGACCTCGCACTTATACAAGTAACAACCGGAGCCCCAATGCTGCCATTGTCGCGCTTGTTTGCAAGTTCTCTCTTCCCACATATCATTAGTATGATCGAAACATCTCGAATGAGGGCCGTACTTCTCTAATGCGAAATTCTTGTCCGGATCTAAAAGAAGGATATATTTCAAAAGAGATCCATCACGCATTGCTTTGTGACGCGTGCGAAATGTACATATATGCCAAGCGACTTACGCGGATTATTCTCCTCGTAAAGACAGTGAGAACCCCTGACTACTATATTCTTTGCTCTCCACGTGAATTCCTGTATATAAGGACAGTAATCTGCCAGAGATACCGAACCGCCGTAGTATTGTTCCTCTCCCGTTGGTACGTGAGGTATTTTATCGAAGTTCTGCAATAGAAGACATCGTCAAACCAGATTCTTTACATACCGCGAATATCCTTATAAATCGATGTAACCATCGTTTACATAGACATTTTGCTCTCTTTCTCTCTCTTTTCTGTTTTTAAATATTCCAATAAATCATTATATATTTTTTACTTGATATTTCTTGGGCAGCGGTTGCGGGTGTTTTACTAGATTACACAAGGCCACTGAACTTCGATCGTCCGTACATTCGGTTTGCAACGGATCCTGTTTCACTTTGTTGCAAAAAGGATGTATCGACTTTCCCCTAAAACATTGAAATGTTCTCAGATAGTCATTGCAATATACGGGGTTCTCTTTCCTGAATATGTCAGTATACATACGATAGCGGGGATGATTTGGAAGATATCCATTCCTTACAGGATCTCATAGCAAAGTTGCATCCTAGATTTCTCCCCCATCCTAGCTCTTGCGCCATCGAATAGTTGGCACTATACCAACCAGTATCTTCCATAAGAGCGAGCGTTATTCTCGAATATACTGGATTTTGCGTGTGTGTGCCCGTCATCGCTTCGTTCTGAATAAACAAAAAAATCAATTTAGAATAGCAAACGTGTGTCGTTTGTTTAAATTTTTTATTGAAAAATATTCAGGAGTGCAAACTATAAGATATATAGATTCGCAAAAGTTTAATTTTTTTTAAATATTATTGCATTACATATGAATAACAAAGAGTTAGATCGGGGATTCTGAGCATTACTAAGCACCTCAAACACCCGCTTCTCCCAATGTGTGAGAGCCGTGCCGTCCTCGCCTTGGTCCTCCAGTTCCGCGCCCTCAAGTTCCGGACAATTGAAGTGCGCTTGAACCTCAGCGCGGACGCGAGGCGTGACTATCATTTGCATGGTCCTCTCCACATTACCACCGTGTACTTGCCAGCGAGGTCTGACCACAGTTTTGATCGTGTTCTCGCTCCATTGGTGCGTTTGTAACCTACCCGAAACGAGTATCGAACATTATTAGCATATGCTGGATTCGATAATCGAAAGCTGCTATTGTCATCCGATATAATAATTTCACCGCTATGATATCGTACATCACGCTACGGATTATATTCGCGAATACTCAAAACTACTTCAAATTTTGAATAAACTAATATATCTGCGAGAAAGTAAATAATGAAACAAAATAATCGAGATTCCTCATTCCATATCGGAATATTTAATCTACCGCAAAATGGAAAATCGATAAAAGGATCTGTGCGCATTTCGAGTAACATTAAAACGTTTATTTTGACACAATTATTTATTCAGTTTCTTTTTTTAATTCATTTTCTCTCTATACTATATACTTTTTTTCTATATGATGTAATATCGTATGTTTTCTATATACACGCTCTCTTCTCGATTTACATCGGCAAGATAGCGGATGTTTTACTTATAACATATTTATTATATGTCAAACGTTGAATATCTCCGTAACTTCGGAAAGCTGGGCAGATAAATATAATTGTACTTCAATCTATCTCTCTCTCTCTCTCTCTCTCTCTCTCTCTCTCTCTCTGTCTATCTCTCGTATAAAATGATTGATGCGATACGTCGGCGAAACGCTGTTTTCGACAGCGAGCGGCCCCTTCTATATCCTATTTCGACATGACGGATGAATTCGCGAATGGCCATTTTGCTGGGAACGAGCACGAGGTGAAAAATATTATTACGCTTGAGCGTCAGCGCAAAATTGCTCGTCAACGTATCTCATATGCATAAATTGTTGGAAATATAATAGTGCAGAAATAGTATATAACATGATACAGATCGATAGTATAGAAATCGAACGTAACGTTGCTAGAGAAAAGAATTGTTTCAATTTCACGTTACGAAGCAATAAAGGAGATTAAATTCATGTAAATCTTCTCTGCTCGTGAAAACGCTTTTGAATTTCATCGAAACGTTTTTTAAAGTTAGTTCGCAGCAAATGAGTTATGAAAGTATTCGAATATTGTTACGTTTCTTGTCAATTTGCTGTTGCAGCTTAAAACAATGATTTCACAATTAAGTTATCAAATTCGCATATTTGAGTAATGCAGATAATTTGCATTTATGTAAAATGACTAGTTAGAATGGATAGAGAGAAATACTGATGTAAATGTGTAACTAATTAACGCTAAAAGCCTAATCAGCACTATTGATAAAAATAATTTTAGACAAAAATAATATCGGAATATTTCTATAAAAAATGAAGCGAACAATTATAAAGCTAACAATTGGAAAACTAATGCGTGAGAGTATTATAATTATTTATTCTAAAGGCAGAAGAGTAGCTCACTATTTTGCAAACAATTACATCTAATACCATAGTATTGCATTGCAAAATCTATATTTTATTAAAATCTAAAATTACAAAGATCCTCCCTCTCTCTCTTTCTCTCCCTCCCTCTCCCTCTCTCTCTCTCTCTCTCTCTCTCTCTCTCTCTCTCTCTCTCTCTCTCTTCATGCGTTGCCGCGGATTAGCGTAAACCTTAAACGTAAGAAGATCTCTGTAGAGATATTCAGACGTGGTAGGGTGAGAACACTCGCGTTCACGAAGCAGATGGATGGCAGGAAATGCAAGGAAACGCTGGAATTTGTAACGGAGAACGCGCAGATTGCGAAGCCGAGCGAAAACGGACGGAAAGGACGACTAGAACTAAAACGAGAAGCAGTGAAGGAGAGTAAGAGGGTTTCTAGTGAGATAGACGAAAGGTAGAGGAGGAGGCAAGGAAATTAAAAGGACAAGCGGCTGCAAGGAACGAGAAGGAGGGAACGAGCAGCTATCTCCGACGAAAATCTCTCTGTCCCTCAATTTGAGTTCTAGGACATCGTTGAGAAAGAATCAGGACTCCCCGGAAAAAGTTCGCGAAAGTTTAAGAAGTTCCGCATACATTACTAAGTGGCTTCATAATTCTCCAACGTTATGCAATGCGATGAGTGATGTTCTATCAGAGAAAGAAAGAGAGAGAGAGAGAATTTTTATCTCTGTCATCATTCGAAATGTAAATCAACACGAGAATTCATGAGATAAGCTGAAAAAACAGTCACGTTAAAAAAATGCATTAGAAACATACTGGAAAATTATACGCCGGAACAAACTTTAAAAAGAACCGAAGAATGCCAGAGTCATTCCCGAAATCTATTATAACCCGAAACGCTATAGATCTGTTGTTGGAATTTCGCAATTCGAAGTGGAAAGACATCGATTTTCATCACTTTGTAAAGAGGCTCGCGAGCAAGATAGCGAATGGAAAAAAAGAATGAAGAAACAATGATAGAGAACAGAAGATGTAACTACGAGAGGGGAGTGAGAGGTAAAACGGGAAGCAGAAGGAAAGACACGTGAAGAAAAATCGTACCGAAAAGAACTTGCATCTGCCAATGCCGGAAGCCAGTTCGTTACGGTCCGTCGACTTGGATAGAACAGAATACCAAGAATTTTCCAATTTTAAAGGCAGATACACCATCAGACGATTGATAAGAGAAGAAGAGAGAAAAAGAATCAAGACGTCCACAATATAATAATAAATCGACAAAGAAGACAAGTTGCCCGTGTTTGTGAATGTACAAAAGCATTGATTGTGACAATAACGCCAGCAAAATTAAATACAAATTAGCTGGTCGAAAACTATATTATAGAAAATGCCATAAAAATAATTACATTATTAAACATTAAGATAAAAGAGTTTGATCGATGATACCATGATATCATATCTGTATAATCAATATCTGTTCAACGTTCTAATTTCGAAAAATCCTTAATGGTAACTTTATGCTAACGGTTTAAGCTTTATCTATCGGTAGAAATCTACATAAAGGGAATCGATCGCAGATAGTGCGATATTTGGTATTCTAATTAGAGTATCAGACATTCCTTGAATACGTAACTGCATCGTATTTGCAATCGAATTTAAAATACATCTCTGCGTTCAATAAACTATTAATTTTTATATATCTGGTATATACGTGGTAATAATTTAATGCCCAGGTAATCAATTTTGTTTTATATTTCTTTTGTGCGCGATAATAAGGGAACTTTAATATAAGACGTATAAGAGGCAGAACGTACTTTTCATTAAGGGGTGGTTTTCCGGTATCGCTTCTTCTGGGTGTCCTGGGCTCGCCATTCTCGTCCCTGTAGAAAGCGTATAAGCTCACAGAAAATCCTAAAGCGTGCAGGATCTCGTGTTTAACAGTGCTGAGCAACGTTTCCAACTCCTGCGGTTTCGTGCTGATGCTTCCTGGGCATAGGTTGGCATGGCCAGCTATCGGCCTGAAAGCAATTTAGTTCGCTTCAGCAGCTGCAAAAATCTCCTTTCGCCTTTAATTACAGCATCCCGAATTTGTATTATCTCCTCGAGATATATATATAATATAAATTGAAACATTACAGTGTAATTACCATGAAAGATACTTTAATCGATGTTAAAGGCAGTATAAAATTACATATGCGTACATTATGTAAAATATATTTTTTAACACTCGGATTTTTTCAAGGATTTTCCCATAAGCATGCGGCAACGCGACGCACGAATATCGTCGATCTATCATGATCAGACGTCGTGCGAATAATAAAATTCGCGCAACGCCATTTACATCGACCGTGGTACGACGTGCGCGAGGTATGTACCTGACAGACAAATTTAATCTACTCAATATGCGTTCACGTTTCGGCAGATTCATAAAGTTAAACGTCAAATCACACAGCATCAAGCTTTGCTTCTGCAATTTTTCATTACGCGAATTCGGCCTTATAAAATATTTTCTAAATCACGAACTATTTTTTTCTCACGTGCATTTTAAATAATCAATAATTTTAATAATATAAAATCTATTTACTCATAAATATAAATTATTTGTCTAACATAATGGTTAATACAATTGTAACAGCTATTTAGCAACAAATTCAAAATAAAAATTAATTCAACAATATCATGCTTAATGATTATTTGTTGAATAAATAAAATAAGATATTTTTTAAAATTAAAGTTATTAATATGAATGTTCGCCATTGTTGAATCGCTTGCACAAACGATTCCTTTTATAAATCCTGTCAAATATTTAATCCGACGTCCTCATGAAATATATTCATGCCAGATGTTGTTTGCCTTCGTTCTATCCTTCTGTTCATACAAACGGGAATCGCGCATGTTTCAATCATGTGACAAGTCACTTATTCAATATATTATTAATTATGTTCTCTCAAACGTCAAAGTATCGCGGAAATTATATTTAATATGTAAAATTTTTATT